TGAGATAGACCAACTACACATTACATCCTGGACTCAAGAAGACCCAGAAGAACAACTGGATATGCAGCCAACACCAGAAGCTGGAATGTCACTGCCAATCCCTCCATTACAAGGCACAGCAGCTGATATGAGACAGAAGATCATGGATAAACTAGCACGAGTCAACCCTCGAAACTGATTACCAAGGCTCAGTGGAGAAGTATCATCAGATAGTATGCTAAAAGATGCCAATAAAGCCCTCACAACAATCCCTACTACCACCATAACTCAAACCAATGAACTGGTATATGCTACAGCCGCTGTAATCCTGGAGATGCTTGGCTACACAATCAAGAAGAACAGCAGTACATACCCCCCCTGGAAAATGAGGTTGGAGGCTAAGATCAAGGCAACTCAGAGAGAAGTTGGTCAGCCAGTGGAACTACAGAAGAATGTGGAAATTAAAAATAAGACTTGGCTACGGAAAAAATACAAGGGCCTGACTCCATCTGAAGACCTAGAGACTGCTAAACAAAGGCTCATAGCACTGGCTACCAAGCAAAGGAGATACACTAGAAAAGTAGAGGCCAAGAAGATAAATGCCTTGTTTTCCAAAGAATCATCCAAGATGTCCTCCCAACTGCAGTGAACAGTACAGTAACAGCAGAGCCACCAACAGCAGAAACTGAACAGTACTGGAAGAACGTATGGGAGAAAGAAGACAGGTAACACCAGCACAAAGTGGCTGCAGGACCTGAAAGCAGACCACAACAATCTCCAAGAACAGGTGCCAGTCACCATCACAGTAGCAGACATCCAACAGCAGGTCAAGAACATGAAGAGCTGGACAGTACCTGGCCCAGACATGATCTACTGGCTAAAGAAACTAACAGCATGAACGGCTAGCACCACAGGTGAACCAGCTGTTAGCAGCAGGCTCCCACCCAGACTGGCTAACACAAGGAAGGACAGTGCTGATCATGAAAGCCCCCCACAAGGGAACAGCACCACCAAACTACCAGCCAATAACCTGCCTCCCCACAACATGGAAAGTCCTATCAGGCATCATAGCCACCAAGCTACAGAACCACATGGGCTAGTACATGAGCACAGCTCAGAAGGGCACTGGGAACAACAGTAGAGGCTCAAGACACCAGCTGCTCATAGACAGAGCAGTCCCCCAAGACT